CGGGACCTGGCCCGGGACGCCGTGCTCATCACGGGCGGCGGCAGGGGCATCGGGCGCCACCTGGCCGCGGAGTTTGCCAAGCGAGGAGCCAGAAAGGTGAGGGGGCGCCGCCCGGCCGGGGGGGCACTGCGCAGGTGCGGGGGCGCGGCAGCGGCCCCTCATGCGAGGGGGAGGGGGGCACCCTGCGCCCCCGAACAGGCTGGGAGCAGAGCTGGAGGGGTGGCAAAGCGTGGGGGAGGCGTCTGGGCTGCGGGGAAGCTGGGCTCCCAGGCACTGGCATAGTGGCACATGAGCGGGCGCGCTCCAGGTCCTTCCCCGACAGTGGCCTTCTTTATTGACCTGCAGAAACCGCCAGCCGCCCCTTGGCTCCAAAATGGTCCCTTTTATTAGAGCGACTGGCAAGAAAACCGTCCTTTCCGGCGAGCTTTGGGGATCCCAGTGCCTTGGCGGGCTCTGGGGGAAGTGTGCCTGGGGCCATCTGCCGCCGGCTTGGTGACACTGGGAGAGGGCGGACTCGGCATGGCCCCTCCGTGTTGTCCAAGCTGGCGGTGAAGCCAGCTGCGTTGCTTCCTCGAGACTGAAAGCAGTTTCAAGAGAGCAGAGGCAGACGAGGTCCTTTGGGTGAATGCAAGATCTGTTCTTAGACCAGTGCAAATCGCTGGGAAACTTCTTCTCAGCAGACTTTTGGGTGCCCAGTTTTCCTCTCTCCTGCTGCCTTGCTCCGAGACAAATTCTCTGGGTCAATGTGATATCAAAGCCTCTTCTCCATGCAATGTGGTGCCCTTATAAAGGATGCAAACCCTCTGGTGACGTAGCAGCGTGCTCTACTTTTATGCTTCACTTTGCAGATAACAGGAAAAAAAACTTGAGGGGTCTTAAAAAAATGCACATTGTGAAGGCAAACCAGACAGCAGATGCAGAAGAGTTAAATATTCCATTTCTTTTGGCTCTTCCCTCTCCCACTGCAGTTAATTGCTTCAGATAGTTGTGTGCCTGAAATGATCTGTTATAATTAATCTTTCCGGGGGATTCAGATGGGTGATACAGTATATCCATGAGAGCCCTATAAAAAAAAAAAAGAAAGAAAGAAAGCCCTTCACCCATGGTGGGAAATTCAGAGGTCACAAATGTTGCATGAAGGGGAGCAGAAACCATGGCATGAAGAGTCAGGTTCGAGTTGTGGATGCCCGGTGTATCTGGACAGATCCAGCACTGCGCCTGTGCACACAGGCATAGTGGCAGAGTTATAGAGGTAGGCGGCGATATACACCATCTATTTGAGATTAGTATCTTCTCACAGACAGGTTAGTTGATACAGCTAGTGTATAAGTTGCACACGACAATTAAACTGGGATTGGCTTTCATTTTAGATCCAGCTTTTGGCAGGGACAGGTTTGTTCAGCCTACACGAGGCACTTCCAAACAGACTGTGCGCGCCAGGACAAGGGAAGACCGCAAGAGCTGCGTCTCCCCGAGATGCATTTTTAAAAAAAAAAATTGGTGGCACCAAAGCATCTTTAATGCTAAAATGTGACGTTTCCAGTTGGCCCGCTTGCGAGCGGCGCAAAACGGATTTACAGCATGCGTGCATCCGAGCGGCACCTGTGAAGAGCGCTGGCTTGATGGTGCTGGCACGTGACATCTCATCAACAAGACAGAAACAGCACAGGCATTGCGAAAACCCGCCCCTTCCCCTCCTTACTTCCACTGTCCAGCCAATGTACTTCAAATTGGATGGGACAGTTCATGTCTCAGACAATTTTCTTTAACTCGACTTCGGTTTCCTCATTCATTCATTTGTTGGCCTCTCTTTTGACGTTGCCAACAAGGGGACGAATCAGTGCCAGTTGCAGCCAAGGTTTACACTTGTCTACTAGATTTTGGACTGAGACCCCATGAGCATCAGGTAGTAAGATATTTGGGTCATTAGTGATCCAGGCAGGACGCGTGCCATGGATACCTCACAGATAAAAACCTCTGCTTCCCCTATTTGTGTCCCAAAGCCTTTCTGATGTGGTAGGGGGGAAGGTTTTCAAACTCCACCTTTCAATCAGCAGATGGCCCGGGGTAAAGGGAATTAGGACTGAAACATATTTGAAGCGCTAATGCTGCTTCTCCCATGTCGTGTCCAATTTCAGAACAGGTGATTGCAAAGGTCCATTTATTTATATTTGGGGTTTATCTTGACTACTGGTCAGGTCTCCCGAGAGCAGGTTTTTCTTTTGTTTTCAGCTGCTAATTGGTTGCCTGGAAAACTCAGAAGACTGGGTATGCTATTGGCTGCGACTTAGACTGTATAACTGCATAATTAGGTACATTTGAGCAAGAGAGCAAAACAGAGTTTGCAGGCTCGTGTCAAACTCGGCCGTTGGCTGTATTGCAGCACATGCAGCGTTCAGTCTTGAGCCACAGAGAACGTGGAAAAAAAAGCCTCAGAGTTTGATCTTGACTTCGGTTTATGGTTTGTGGAGTTGAGCATTTGCATGCCTAGCCTGTAAAAATACAGTTCTAATTTATCACTGCGCCGTTTCCTAACCGGGCCTTGAACTGGAAGTGTTATCGATGTAAGATTGGGAACTCCAAGCTCCCTGGACATAACGCCCCACACAAGAGAGCAAACTCATGCAGTTATAGGGGGTGTAGTTGTAGCCGTGTTGGTCAAAGGACAGAGGCAGAGGAGTCGGCAGGGACGTGAGAGCTAGATGGCCGAGTCGAATCATTCATTGATGGTTACGGCTAGCCGGTATTGCATAGCTCCTTTGCTTCAACCTCCTGCATCAGCATGCAGTGGACAAGTCTGATCATAAATCTGGCCAACCTGGTTTTGATCATCTCCAACAATGGAGCCTGGACAATTGCACCGGGTGTTGCTCTGTTGTTGATTCATCCTTTCATTTCAGGCATTTTTCTTGATGCCTGCCTTCTCCATTTCTAATTTTAAGTTGAGCTGTGGAGTTATTCTGACCTGATACATCCTGGAATGTTTATCACTGCCAAAAACACAGCTAAAGCTAACAACAACACAGCGAGATACTGTTACAGCGGAGAGACGGCCTCCAACCACATGCCCTTCCTGCATCCTGATTTTGGGGATGGAGTGGCGGCTCCTCAAACGGTTGATTTTCACTGAGCGCTGCCTTGATTAGCACAAAGGCTGAGCTCAGATAAGATCAGGAGCATTCCCCCAAAGGGCCTTAATTATTGCAATTTTCCTTTGCTGCTGTTTTGTCAGTTCTTTCTGTTCTGAGGGTTGGGGCTTTTTTCTTAGTAGTAGGTATAGTTCAGTTTTTAAAAACTTTCTAGGTAAGCCTTCCCTTATCTTGTCCTCCAGCGGTGTGCCGTTTGCTTCTTTTAGCAACTGTACTTGCTGTACAATGAACCAACAGGGGACGGCTATCAGGGAAGGAGGGAAAAAAACTCTTGCTTGATGGCATGAATCCAAGGAAGACACCAGAAACTCCCCATGTCACGTGGTACATGTTTTTTACAGCCATGACCTCACTGCACCAGTACTTGGATCTAGACCGTTATAGCATTATGTCTGCAAAATGCTATTAACCTTAATAACAGCAGGGTGGGCAGCTGTGAAATGCCACACACACGTGCACACACAAGGGTGATTACCACTGGACAGCGGGGGGGAAAAAATCTCAGAAGATAACTTGCAAAGTTTTCCTGTAAAAATGGAACCGGACTGTAGGACAGGCTTTTGATTTCATCCTTCGAACACCTTGTCCGGCCTAAGAAGCAGCACTGAAGTATTGTCAAAGTCTAACACTGGACATACTACTAATGTATCCTTGCTGGAGGTGCACGGCAAGTTGATGGTTTTTAGGCACGTAATTTCCACTGCTTGTGATGGAAGTGCAGCTATCTTACCCCATCTCAATATTTTGACTGCGCTTCTGGAGGCTACACAGGTTGCATCCGAGCTGTCTCTCAGAATAAAGAGCCTGCCCTCAGATGCTTAATCAAAGCATTTTAATCTGTCACAGGAACAGACAAGCTTCATGGGCGGTAACCTTGCTCAAAAGACAGCCAATAACCCAGGAGGACAAAGATGGGAACTTTAAGCTACGGAGGGACCCCCCGTTTCATGTCTAATTGTATTGGGAGAGCTGATCTTGAATTCCCAAAATAATCTAGGTGTTGTTGCTTCTTGTTTCAAACCGTATTTTAATCTCTTCTGCATGCCTACCCATGTGTTTGTGCACAGCCAGACCACAGTCATCAGCAGGATCTCTGAGATTACTGCAATACTGGGCGAATACTAACAATTTAAATGCGTGTTAAATGTGGTTTATAAGTGCTTATAATTCGCACAGATCAGAGAGACAGAGAGAGAGAGTTTACCACCTCAAGAGCAGATCTTTCTAGCACGAGGAGCAGAGTTGGTTGTCTTATCAAAAAGAGGGAGGAGTTGATCCTCCTTGAAACATAATTCACCCTCTTGGGTGTGTTTGTTCCAAGTCATGCAGTCTGACACTGTGAAGTCCAAAACTTTGTAAGAGCATTGTTTATACAATAAAAATGATCATTTCGATCCACGTGTGCATGCTGCATCTGTACCTGGAAAGAGTATTGTGCAACCAAGCATTCAGTTAGCTTTGTGTGGAGATATTTTTGAAAGAATACCCAGCATGTGTGTTTTGAGCTCATCAAGACAACCGCCATCAATAAATAAGTACTTTGCACTGATTACTTTGATTGCTGTGCAGAAAACCTAGGAGGATGCTAGGACAGCTGGTCAGAGTCCATATATAAGGGTGGCGTTACACAAACTAGAAACCAGCCAGGCTGAAATTACATATCTGACCCATGTAAAAAAAAACTAAACAAATGTGGTAGTTTGGGGAGAAGCTTGGAATAAAAGGAATTGATTTAACAGACGGTAAATACGCAGTAACATGATGTTTGTCCGTCATTCAGTTATTACTTTGCGTTCTATGAAGCTGCCCTTTTTTGCGACCGTGGAAGTGGATAAAGCATAGGAACTGGATGTGTTCAGGGATTTTCCCCGAGGCTGGCCAAAACATCCAAACATATCTTTAAGTATTGAATCCAGCCCCGGTTAGTAGCGACTAAGAATTAGTTAT